GGTCCCTGGGCTCCTTCCTGTTCGGACCCCGCTGCTACACGTAAGGTCACGGCCATCATTATGTATTTTACAGGGAAATCACCACTGATTGATTTTATACTTTAGTGACTGGTGCAAGAAGGGTAAACTTGTAAGCTAGGGTCTAAGACGAAAATAAATCAACAAACAAGCAGCGTATCGTTCATGATTTCCCCCGGCTAATTAGTGATGACAAAGTTCAGCGTAAAGTATTGCTGGATATGAACTAATGAATTTCTGAAATACTTGTGCAAATATACATGAGAATTTAAAGTAAACAATTTACATGGCATTAAATGAACTTGTTTCCTCACGTATGCGAGTGCCGTGACCTGGACTCCCCCGCTCATCCGCTTTGGCCGCTACCACTACATGTCCGATGTACGATGTGGGGGTGGCCAGGTGGTGCTCGCATCTGGTGATTTAAGGTAAAAGGAAGGTGAACAGATCTCCGAGGGACGCTGACCTGGAATTGTCCCGGTATTATACGAGAAGTAGCAGTACTGTGTTACTGTTACGTTACACTTTCACTCATAGTGATTTTAAAATTCTGTCTTCCACATCTAACAGACTCGATCTCCTCATCCTAGAGTCCCTGCATACGCCTAAGATGAAACCCGAGCTGAATCCCAACACAGCCATCCAGTTGTTTACTGTGTAATCACCATAACCACCTTTTCACACTTGTTTGGTATGTCCAACCCTTACACACCTTTTTCACTATTTTCCTGCCGTTTTATTTTTGTTCCAATTCCCATTTTATTGTTGCTCGTTTTATGAACTATGTTTTTCTTTTGTTTCTGCATCTAATTGTATATTCTTTGGTTCATTATTTCTAGTACTGATGATGGAGATGAATTCCGATCTCTGAAACGTTTACAACAAAGATGTTCACCGCAGCTCTGGTTCTCCTTTTCATTCTACGACTGAGAGAAAGAGAGACAGACAGACAGACAGACAGAGAGACAGAAAGACAGAGAGACAGACAGAGAGAAAGACAGAGACAGAAAAAGACAGAGAGACAGACAGAGAAAGACAGAGACAGACAGAGAGACAGAGAAAGACAGAGAGACAGAGAGACAGAGAGACAGAGAGACAGAGAAAGACAGAGAGACAGAGAAAAAAAGTGAGAAAGAGAGACAGATAGAGAACTTGTGAGGGTTGTATTACCAAATGCAATCGTTATGTTCCACTCCTCTTCGTCTCTTTTTTTTTCGATCGCAACACGTTTCGCAGCGGTACGATCTCGCTCCCCGTTATAAAGCTTCCTCGATTTCACGATAAGCTCGTTGGTAATTGGAATCCTTATGTACCTAAATTGTTTATAATGTTATGTAGAGTGAATCACTTCCAATAATCATTTCGTATTAATAACGCCGAAATCTTTTCAAAGAGGTACTTCATAATAGGGTATATTAGGCAAAATGATTTTATGAATACTTACTCAGGGTCCAGTACTATGGTATTTTCACACATCATAAATATTAATTTAAAAGTTGATAGTATTGTTTTTTCACTATTGGTATCATTATTGTCGTAATTATTGGTACCAGTATTAGTTCCATTACTTCAGTTCTCATTCCTGCTGTATCATTATTATCATCATTATGAATACAGCAGGTGCTGTACAACCTGTGCAGTGTATGCGAGAGTAAACGCCGAACCCTACCACCTGCTGACTTTGCAAACTGGCTTCTTACCCACAGACATTGCAGCAAGAACTTCAGTGGACCAGCTGGGCGGATGGAAGCAGAGGAAGCTCAAAGGATGTTTCTTCGCTCCACAGATTATGGCCTGCGGCATGCTGCCTTCGTTGGTGATGGGGATTCTTCTGCTTACATGAGCGTCCGCTTTATCTATGGCGTCGACAGAGAGGTCGTGAAGTACTAGTGCATCAATCACGTCGGCAAGCGGATGGGCACTCGGCTCCGTAAGCTGAAGGGGACTCTCACCACGCCAGTTACCACGCCGGCGCGCGCTCATTGCCTAATGAAAACATCTTTTATCTAGGTTTTTTACGTTGGCTTTGAAGCGCTCCGTTAACACCAGCCTGGAGACCATGCGGAAGAATGCACTTGCGCCTTTCTACCATCACTCTTCCAACGATTTCAGGGTGCAGCACCAGCATTGTCCAGATGGCGCAGACTGCTAGTGCTTCTACAATGCAGCGAGAGCAGCAGGCCGGGTTCCTCGTTCTCATTCCCAGAAGAATCTCTTTCTCAGGACAGTACTGCAGGATATCCGTTAACGGTATACGAGGACCTTGACTAAAGATCAGCTGCTTTCCAGGTGTCTTCCGGGGTATACGCAGAACGCCAACGAGTCCCTGCATTCGAAAGTACGGCGTAAATGTTCAAAGGGAAGGTTTGCAGGTGTGGAGCGAGTCCAGTTCGTCTGCAGCCTCGTCTCTTTGGAACATTTTTTTTTTTTTTTTTTTTTTTTTTTTTTTTGCGAGAACGAGCTGCAGCCAGAGCTGAGCAACAAGGCCGACTGCGCAGCGGAGATTTTCTGAGGCGCTGACATCTGTTCTCTCCTTCCAAGACTTTTATTTCTTTTTTCAGAAAGATCGCTTGTTTATTAATTTGCATTCCTTTTTTTCAGGACTTCATTCAGTTTTGGGGGGAAAAAGTTATTTCTTTATTTCTTTTGACAAGAATTATTTCATTTTGTTTCTCAGAGAATATGTATTTGTTTCTTATTTTTTTACATTTTGTTTTTAAAAGAATATGTTTATTCAGTTTTTTTATGATTTTTTTTTTTTTGTGAATTTGGCAACAATGAGTGGGCTGGCAACCCATGATACCCTCCGTAAGGATAATATCTCAGCTCTGATTAGACAGAGCTGAGAGGGGACCAAAAGCCAACAAACCAAAATGCTTTTATAAGAATATCCGAAAGTAATATATTTCATCTATTCGTTTATAGCGACCCGAGGAACACCGCAGAGACATCCATTTTCTATAATGGCACTCTAAAACTAAAGAAAATGTACTTATATATCTATCGCATTTGCTGAAGACCGAAATTTTTACCTGTTTGGCTTCAATGAGCACGATTTTATGTGAGCGTATCCACATACAATTGTAAATTATAAAGAGATTGCCGTGGTAATGTTCTCATCGCAAAGTACACAAAATAGGCTATTTTTTCATATACAACATCATTAATCATTAAGTTTCGGCATGTGAAAATATAACGACCTTCGTTCTTTGTTTACACGACCTTCGGTACATAATGGGGCTCGTAATTTTCGTGGGATTCAAATGCAGTTTGTTGCGTTCGCTTGAGCCTTGGAATCCTGAGGCCGTGTAAATTGCCGATTTTTTAATTTTTGCCTCAATCAAAAAAAAAATAAATAAATAAAAAATTAAAGCTGAAAAACACATACCAAAAATGATTCTCTATATCAACCAGTCCCCCGCTCAAAAAAAAAAAAGAAATAAAAAATCGGCAATTTACACGGCCTTAGGCTAGGATAGATCTAACACATGATTTTTTGGGGGATGGTTCAGGAAAAAAACTGTGGGCCAGATTATGTACCGAAGACGAAAAAAAAGGCGATTTTTTCGACTTTTTTTTGCTCTCTTTTGATATTGGACCACGTTGATTATGTGACCGTTGCGTGGAACACGTATATTCAGGAAGTATTCGTTTACAGCATTTTCTATGACAGATTCCATCTATCCATCTCATATATTGTGATCGACTACCTTTAGAAGCAATTTGAAGGGCAAGTCTCATCTCAACCAAAAATTTGAATAATGATCTCGGTCTCGCTGACGGGGTCCGATGGGGCAGGTGATTTAACTTTAGCCCACAAGAGGTTTTTCTGGCACAAAAGTTTGTATTCGAGAAATCGCTATTTTTCACTTTGCTGGCTAGAAAGTGTGGGCAAGGTTTATGTTTTGACTTCGGTCCATCGCCAATACCGCATTTTATATTTGCCAAAAATTGTGGGCTAGAAGTGTGTGCTGGCTGTATGCCTTGTTTTAGAAATTGAAAAGTGTGGGCTAAATACACAAAAGTAATACATATCTTAGACAAAACTAGCCGCAACAAACAATATATAAATTTCATACCAAATATAACAGACAAGATATTCATAAATGGAAAAAACATATTGAAATAAACAAACAGCAGGGACAATGTGAGTAACAAAAGAAATATATCGTTAAAATAGCGGGAGACCCGGCGGCCCCGACCCGATGTATTTTCATATAAATGGACATTTATGTACACATGAATAAATGCATATTCATCACTATGCATATCTATCAGATAAATATATAGATAATGACATCTATCAGACAGGTAGAGAGCCGCTTATATCTCCGCACATAAACATGTCCGGCTGAAAGTCAAACATAATACGAATTACAGGGGGGAGGGGGGGGCAAGTAACAAAGTTGGTAGCACTTTTCCATAAATGTTGCAAATGTTAACGTATGTACTAGCAGATCCAAAATCTCACAGCTTTAGTAAGGAAAAAAAGTAAAATTCATGTACACATTTTAAACTTAATGGAAATCTTTCTTTTTTGTCACAGTTATCAGTTTCAGTACAACAGTATTTATGTTACGAATAAAATTATTTTCGTATTTCTACATGGCGTGTAATCTATGCAAAAGCCCACCATCCCTTCACCCGCTCGGATCCGCCACTGGGATAAGATATATACATTCAAAAAATGACAGACAAAAGATGAAGCCAATAGTAGTGACAAACAAAAAGAACATAAGTAGAGAAATAATAAGTAAAGGGATATTAGAATAATTCTATGATAATTACTATTATCATTATTATTATGAGATGATTTTTATTTGTATCGCTAAAGAAATATATGTATCAACAGTGACATTAATCGAATGATATCTGTAATGACCATACGACTAATAGATATCGATATGAATAACAATTGATGATGATATCAATAATAAGTAATAACAAAAATGACTCATGCACGAATTCTGACGCACAGTCACGGTGAACATAACGCCAGTATCAAAACAAACACGAAAGGTGAAATTCCGCTCATTTCTTCAACAAGTTTCGCATTTCCTGAACTACAGAATACCTTTCTTCCGATCTGTACGCCGATAATATCGTTGAAATAAAGTGAAACCTGCCATAGTTAAGGTAATTAAGGCGTTATAGTTAAGAAATGAGAGAAATACAACACAGGTGGATAGGTTACAGGTATGAGTCAGACATGCAAGACCGTACATTGATTGATCTCTTTTTTCTCTCTGTTGATTGTGAATCAGTTATTACACCACTTTACTGGCCTTTATGTCTACTGAGTGTTGTTATTCAGTCTAGGTTCTGCTCTTGTGTAGAATAGGTGCTAACGATATCTCTGGGAAAACTAAAAGTAGAAATCAGTTATATAAATTTACTTTTTTACTTATAATTTCCATCATTCTTTGGAATATGGGTAAATGTTTAGAAGACACACATGTATCACTAACCTTACCTTGATCAGCACAGCATTTGTTTATTTTTGACTTCGCAATGACCAGCTATAGGCATCTTTTCCAGCAGTTACGGGAAATGCGACACCTCTTGTGCAGCAGGAATCGAGCCGACTGTTAATTTTAATTGAGTTGCCAGATGCATTCCTCCTACTTCGGATATTTCATATTTGTACTTACATTGGATATCTATAACACCGTACTACCCACCATAAGATATCAAAAGCTGTCTTGGATATCATATTCCAAAATAGTGTGTACCTGTCGGAAAATTAACATTAAAATGGCAAGCCATCAACCGTGATCATATCCATTACATCATAGAAAAGGGTGGAGCTTAGAGGACTGTCTCGCCTCTGATCTCGATGGTGTCGCATCGCGTCTCGTGACACCCTAATTACCACCGAAAAAGATGCCTTATCTTTCAGCTATGTAACTTATTCTGGCAATTGGACTGCGGCTTGGAGGAATAGAGGAACAAACACATCCTTAATGCACCAATGCACAACCCAGGGGCTTTAGCTGCAGACCCCCTACCAATTGTCATATTTGCCCACAGACCCCTTTTTGACTGCTGTTTCTCCCTAGCAGCTGCAGTTCCTTTAAAAACATTAACTATATACTCAAATGAGGAACTAATCTTAGCTTAATCTTGCTAGAATATAGATAATAGAATAGTGATTTGTTGTTTAAATTCCTAGGATAAGTTCACATCTTCACTTAGCGACGATGGAAGCCCCCAGTGCTATACCAAGCAATTTGTCTGTGTGCATGCAGAGTCTGCTGCTTAAGGGAAATACATAAAATTACCCTGATCTCTATGCTCTTGGCTGCGGCATAAAAAGATTAGGGGGACAATGAGGCTGAAAAGAGGTTCATGCCTACTTCTAAGCACATACTTGTTTGGTGTGCAAAACTTCACTTGATGTGAAGACTACCTGGCATAAGGGGTCCTTAGCCATGACATTATAGGAAGTCATACCAGAATGAATGGGTTAAAACCCAACAAATATGGAATCAATAGACTCCTAAAAGTGTCCGTAAACCAAATATTCCAGTAAGAGTTGCCAGGACAAAGAAAAAAATACAATCTGAACTGCCAAAAACTTAGTGGCAGGAATTGTTTACCTAGTGGAGCCTTTGTCTCTCTTGAATCGCGACCTCACTCATGAGGTACAATACACAGATTTGTTTGAGCTCTCTCTTGCCAGTCAGATATAGTTATTTTGTAAATCATATAAATGCATCACAGTTTAACCCTGCAGTTTCCTCATGAAACTTCTCAGTCTCTACTTGCAGAATCCTTACAGAATTTAATATCATCACTACTGTTGCTTTATAATAACTAAAATCACCATAACCTAAATGCACACAAGACATCATAAGAAATCCAAATGTAATTGATTTCATGATGTGATCCAGACATATTCTAGAAAATTAATATTTGTTGGCATTTGCCAGAGTGCAAAGGCAACAATGAACAAGAGAAGTACACCAAATGTTATGTTAGAGAGTGAGAAAGAAAGAGAAAGAGAAAGAAAGTCATGTAACAATTCATGCATACAAGAGATCAGCATAAGATGAATATGTGCCACACTATTATGCCTATCTTATCTTACAAGTGTTTTTGAAATTTCATATTAAAATGTGACCCATTGGCAACAGTTACATTTACTGTCCACTGTGGTTTTTGTGTGAATTTTGTTGTACTCACATGTGCTCAGCCACAATGGAGTCAGT